CGAGACTTCAAAAACAGCACCATTTAGAAGTCTCCTCCTTTCTCCCTCTTGACTGCGTTTCTCATCACACAGATCTCGCTGCACCGCGTCGTCGCTCTTTCAATCGACGGATCAGATCCAGGTGATCTGATTCAGGCGCCGGTTCCTGCTTCCAGCACCGATACCTAGCTTCAAAAAGCAAAGATGGAGAATCTGATTTCTCTTGTGAACAAGATTCAGAGAGCTTGCACCGCTCTAGGCGACCATGGAGAAGCAAGCGCATTGCCTACTCTTTGGGACTCATTGCCGGCAATCGCTGTCGTCGGTGGTCAGGTCGGTTCTGGATTTCTTTGCTCTTCTTTTCGTATTTTTGATAAGATAGTTTCATGTGGCTTATTAGTCTTTTGCTTGATCTGAGCCTAGAGCTTCGAAACTTAAAATCTTATTTAGAGTTTATGCTTGATCTGATGACCTTGATATTTATTTTAGCTTAAAATCTATTGTTTCTTCTATGATTGAGGTGTTTGAAATTCATTTTAGTTTAATTACTGAATCGTTTATTGCGAATTTGATGCATATATGTTAAGAACAAAACTAACTGTTTTTGGTTTTACTGAACAGAGTTCAGGCAAGTCTTCCGTGTTGGAGAGTATAGTCGGCAAGGATTTCTTACCTCGTGGATCTGGTAAAAATACAGTATAATAATAGCTTCCATTTCTCAAAGGAACTGTTTTGGTTCCCCTTCTTTTTTTTTTTTTTTTTTTTTTAAATTCTGACAGGAGATAATGATAAGGGCAATATTCTTGCAGGGATTGTTACCAGGCGACCTCTGGTGTTGCAGCTCCATAAGATTGATGAAGGCAGAGAATATGCAGAATTTCTTCACCTTCCCAGAAGAAGGTTCACTGATTTTGGTAGGTTTTTTTTGTTTTTATGCAACCTTTATATAGAGGGTGTATGTGTTGGATTAGAGTATTTTTAGGGAACTGAATGATTTTTAATATACCGTGCATACTTGAACTGTTTTACATGTTTATGTCTTTGAAGCTGCTGTGAGGAAAGAGATTCAGGATGAGACTGATCGAGAGACTGGCCGTACCAAACAAATATCTAGTGTTCCAATTCATCTTAGTATTTATTCTCCTTATGGTAAGATCTAGATGATATTTCTTTATTTTAATAAATATTTAGTTGCAATGTTATCCGGTATGTATCATCCTTAGCAGCTTCTCAAATAGAAGACATCTTGTTTTTCTGTGGCAGTTGTCAACTTAACGCTGATTGACCTTCCTGGACTGACAAAAGTTGCAGTTGGTAAGTAATATTGATTGAAATATTGGCTTTTCTTTTCCATTTTATTTTTTTCTAAGACTAACAAATTGAACAAAGAAAGAAGAAAGTTGAATTGGCACCATTTTAACTCAATTAACTCCTCATTTGTTTATCTTCAAACTAATCCCTCTGTATTGTCGCACTTTTTGTTGCAATAGAATGAATCAAGCTCTTCATTACATGTTTTACTTTATAAGAGACTAACAAATTAACTTGCAAAATATAGAGGGTCAACCAGATGGCATTGTGCAAGATATTGAGAATATGGTTCGGTCTTACATTGAGAAGGTAATTACAGTTGAATTATTAACTAGCTACCAATGCTGTTACAATTAAGTTTATTGTGCAACCATAAAAGCTTAACAATGATGCATTATTTTACTTGATGACCTTTTTATGCAGCCAAATTGTATAATATTAGCAATTTCACCGGCCAATCAAGATTTGGCTACATCCGATGCAATAAGAATCTCACGTGAGGTGGACCCTACAGGTAAGCATTTGCACTAGAAAGTTTGTATCTGCCATAATCTCTTTTCTTGCTTTTGCAACTCCTTTTCATGTTCTCTAATTTTATGATTTTTCCTGATAGAATGGTGAATTAGATTTTCTTCAAATTTACAAATTTTATCACAAAATATTTCCCTTTTGATATGCTACCTTACGACTTTGTGGTCATGCTCACTAGAAAGAATTATGTCTGTAGACCTTTGAGCACTTTTGATCCTTCAGATTTTCCAAATAATCACTTTGCTCTAATAAAATTTGTAGGGGAGAGGACACTTGGAGTTTTGACAAAGATTGATCTGATGGACAAGGGTACAGATGCAGTTGAGGTGAGTTGCTTAAGTTCTTGTTTTGATTTGATATCACAATATCATGTGGTAGATTTGTTTCCTCTGTTCATGACACAGTTTGTTTTAAATTACATTCTCACAAGCACCTAATTATCAAGAAAGTGACAAATTAGTTATTCAGGAATTTCAAGTATTATGTGCCTGTTGCATCATTAAGTTCTGACTCATAGCTTGGTTTCCTTAGATATTGGAAGGAAGAGCTTATCGGCTAAAATTTCCATGGATTGGTGTTGTGAACCGTTCTCAAGCTGATATAAATAAGAACGTTGACATGATTGCTGCTCGGCGTAGAGAGCGTGAGTATTTTGCCAACACACCAGAGTATAAGCACCTTGCTCACAGAATGGGTTCTGAGCATCTTGGCAAGGTGCTCTCAAAGGTATGGAAGCAAACATTGTGTAGCATTCTGCTCCTACACTTTTATTTTTAGTGAAGAACATGATGGTTTTTGGTTGTGATAACCTTATCATAACGCTATTTTTCTCAGCATTTGGAAACTGTAATCAAGTCCAAGATCCCTGGCATTCAGTCCCTTATCAGTAAAACCATTGCTGAACTTGAAGCTGAATTGAGTCGTCTTGGAAAGCCTATTGCTGCTGATGCAGGAGTAAGTGTGTCTTATGGGCTCCGTTTCCTCTTTATCTGGGAAATTCTACTTGGTGGCCACATATTCTGGAAGAATTGCTGATGATTGGTGCTTATTATGTCCAGGGAAAGTTGTACACAATCATGGAGATTTGCCGTCTTTTTGATCAAATTTACAAAGAACATCTAGATGGAGTGTATGTAGTATATATCATATGTGGATCATTTTAGTAATCTTTGTAGCTTTCTTTAGTTTTTGACCTTGTCATCACTGCTAATGTGTTTTTAATGTTCACTGTTGATCGCAGGAGGCCTGGTGGTGATAAAATTTACTATGTGTTCGATAACCAGCTTCCTGCTGCTCTGAAAAGGTTACAATTTGACAAGCAGCTTTCAATGGAAAATGTTCGAAAGCTGATTACTGAAGCTGATGGATATCAACCTCATTTAATAGCTCCTGAACAAGGATACCGCCGTCTGATTGAATCATCATTAGTGACTATTAGAGGTCCTGCTGAGGCAGCTGTTGATGCGGTATGAATATAGCAACGTAGAAAATTACTAAATCAAATGCTCAAATTGGTTTCTGGAGATTATGCTAGTCATATCTCATAAAAGGTGCCTTTTTTAAAATGGAAAAATGAAATAAATCTCCCAAGGAGCATAGTGCATAAATAAAGCATTGAATCTAGAGCTGTTTGGTGTTCTTTTCTGGGTTGGCCATTCAGCATAAGGAAGTAGGGGCTCAAACCAATTTTATTGCTGAAAGTTTGATTATTCTTTGTGCTTCTTAGCTTTTGTCTTATTGTCTCCGTTTTTAAATTTTTTTCTTCTCTTCAAATTTTGATTCCTGTAATGCATAATGCTGCTTAGTCTTAAAGACAGCAGACTAAATTTGTTTGTCACATTTCCAGGTTCATTCCATTTTGAAGGATCTGGTTCACAAGGCCATCAATGAGACTCTAGTATGTCCTTTCTATGTTCTTTTTCTTCTTTTCTTAGTAGTGTTGTTGTTGTTGTTATTATTATTATAATTATTATTAGGCTACATACTAATGCCTAAAGGCACTCCAACAAAATTTCCCCTTGTGAAAAGGTCTAATTTTGCTAAGGTACTATAGGCTCTTCCAAGGACCTGGTTACATACATTATTGTCAGATATGTTAGTGTTATAACATCTCAAATACGTTTCTTTTTGCTAATGAACATAACTACATGATGTTAAGAAGAAAAGGGAAAATAGTTTTAGTATCCAAGCAAGAACAAGAGTTTGACTAGTTGTTCAATTCGTTAGCTTTTTAAGTAATGAATAGCTTTGGATTTTTTGACTTGAGAA